TATTATTGTTAGAGAGAAAGAATTTCCAGTTGTTGGATAATGCCTTCCATCTGCTTCTGAATTATTGGATTGTGTCGATGAGAGGAGAGAGAAGCCTGAGTTTTGGGAAAGAATTTTTTCAACAATTTTTTTTCTGCGCATAAATTCACTCTATTACTAGTTATGATAATATATATTTTTTAATATAGGATTTTTTTAATTTGTGACTTAAGTTAATAGATTAAATAAGTAATTAATTTTTTTATTATTTAATTATATAAAAAATAAAATTTAACTTTAATTATAACAATTAACTAATTAAATTAATATGTGACATTGATATTAAAATTAATAATAATTTTTTGATTTTTTATATTAATTCATTATTAAAAGGTATATTAATTGTACTTTAAATTTATACCTTAAAAACACAAATTAAATTTTTTTAAATATATAATAATAAAATTTATATCACATCATTTATCTTCTTTTTTTTTTCTCTTACGCATACTACATCATTTATCTTACTAGATTTGTAAATTTTAATCCATCACCTTATATTATGACACTTTTAGCCCATCACTTTTTAAAATTGAAAAAAATAGTCTTCATTTTATAATATTTTGTTAGTTATATTAACTATTTATTGACTCTATTAACTGATTGTTAGTTGATTATTAGTTAACAAAATTTTTTTTCAGCTAAACAGAGTTAACAGAACTAATTTTATAATATTTCGTTAATTTTGTTAATTAGCTATTAGTTGATTATTAGTTAACAAAAATTTACTTTTAACTAACAGAGTTAACAGTCAGTATAAAGTGAGGGCTATTTTCTTCGATTTTAATAGATGAGGGGTTAAACCTACAAATCTAGTAATGTAAAAAACTAAAAGTATTATAATACAAAGTAAAAAGTTAAAACTTTCAAATTTAATAAAGTGAGGGGTTCAAAATAAGTTTTACTTTACAAGTAAGGGACAAAATTTATTTTTTCAACTAAATTTTAGTGTTTGAAAATCATGTTAAATTTTATTAATTTAGAGTTAAATTGAGTTTAAATTAAAAAAAAAACCTCTTTTAATATTTATTTTTCATTCACACAAATTAAATTTAAAAACTTATTTAAAAAAAAAAAAAAAATTCATTTTTTCACTTTTAACGGTTGAGATATGT